ACTTTGTGAATCCTCGGAAGAATATGTGTCGCCTAGACTGCCTTTGAATAACATTGTGATGCTTCACAATCATCCTCGTCGCGACGATTGCTGTTTGTTCAACAGCTATAGAGAAATATTGTTTTCAGTAGAGTATGTTATTGTGATGATACGATGACATATCGAAGGTTCATATCGTACCGCGTAATATTTATGTCTGAACCTGACATTGACATTAAATCAGTACCCATCAAACTTAGTACCTATTGAGTCGCTGAATACCAAATCGTTGTTTCCTCAGCATACCCACTCAATACAATGAAGGAGATAGACTCACATTCAGAGTTAGACGCCTCTCTGAGGACATCCGTTTCCCAGCGATCGAGTGAAGCTCCCATGGTTCAGAGACCGAATCGAACGTCCAAGCTGGCTCAAAGAACGCTCGCTGGGCTTACCATCAACAAACTGAAGATACATTTGGTGGGTATGATCGGAAGAGAGAAAGAATCCGAAGTCTTGCAAACGCACCTTCGCACTATGATTCAACAAGCAAGTAATGCAATTGATGACGGTGAAAATGCAAAATCGAATAGAACCGGCATGCGGGCATCAAAAGTGGAGAAGAAGCTTGTCTTCATTCAAGGTTTTGCGGGCGTAGGCAAGACTACCTTAGCGAGGACTATCAAGAAGGATGTGAACTCTACTGCGAAGGTATTTTTTGCAGAGGGTAAATTCGATTTGGATGATAACAAGGATGAACCATATTCGGGAATAGCAAAAACGTACAGTGGTATCATTCAAGAACTATGGAGAACCAATCGTGATATGCTGCTGAAATTGGAAAACAGTTGTCCGAGGATCTTGGTAGTGAGGTCGAACCGCTGACGTTTATGATTCCGGAACTTGAAGACGCCGTCATTCAGCAGTCGACATCAAGCTTCTCAGAAGGCGACATGGATGGAATGCAAGATCGATGGAAGTATAGCTTTCGTCTACTCACGCGGCTTCTATCAACCCAGGTGAAACCTCTAGTGATATTGATTGATGATTTGCAGTGGGCGGATCAAGCTTCGTTAGATTTGATTGACTGCTTGATCACGGATACTCAGAATGCCAGTCTATTGATGGTGATTGGCTGTTATCGCTCAAATGAAGTCGATGAAGAGAGTAGTCTTTCAAAGACCATGAAGGCTCTCGCTGATAAGGCGGTGGACTTTGGTTTTGACATTTCAGAAATTTGTGTGGATAGCTTTGGGATCAACGAAGTAAATCATATGATCATGAAGATGATGGATACCAATATCGAGGACATCACAAGAGATCTAGCTGCATTGACTTTCCAGAGAACGCTGGGGAATCCATTCTTTGTGATTGAGTTCATGAGTATGCTCCAACGAGAGGATCTGATCACATTTAATCTGGGCACGATGAAGTGGACATATGATGTTCGTACCATCGCAGATACAACAGTATCGACTCCCAATGTTGTGGAGTTGTTGAAGTCCAGGATGCAGAAAATGCCAGCAGATGTGCGATTGCTACTTCAGTTTGCTGCTTGTTTTGGTCCTACATGGACAGTCACGATCGTAGAAATTTTGTGGAAGAACATGGCAATCGTCCAGTCAAAAGGATTTGATCTTCACACAGTTTCTACTCTGATAGGATACATAGAAGACGAAATGCTGATAGAAAGATGGGGCGAATTCAAATACAGATGGGTCCACGACAAAGTCCAAGAAGCAGCACGTTCGCTTGTAGAGACGGATGAAAGGACAATGAAGTTTGAAATGGGCAAGATTTTGCATCTCAATCTTCGACGGAAGGAGCTTGACGATGAGCTTTTTGATGTTGCTGATCTAATCAGTAATGGGAAAGGAATTGAGTCTGCAGATTTTGCTTCTCTGTGCTTGAAAGCTGGAAAGAAGGCCATGCGACTCTCTGCGTTCCTATCGTCGACGAGATACGTGAAAAATGGAATTGGAATGCTCCCTGATAATTGTTGGACAACGCTGCAGTCCCTGACACTCGAATTGTATACACTTGGCGCTCAAGTAGAGCTTGCACTTGGGCATGTAGAGGAGTCTAAGAGTTATTGCTCTTCTGTTCTCTGTCGAGACGATGTTGAAATGAGTGCTAAGATTCCTTTGAGAATAGCAGAGATAACGAGGCTTGCGACGGTCGAAATGAAGTATCCGGAGACAGTAAAGACGTGTCTTGCACTTTTGAAAGACATGAAGTACAAGTTCATTTGGACTCGATCATTGATCACTCTCCAGGCTGTTTCAACGTTATCAAGTACAATCAATTCAGTAAAGAAGCAACCAAAAAAATTTCATTTGCGTCTGGGAACAATGGATGATAGGAACAGAACCATTGCTGAAATATTGAGTCAGCTGCAGTATTCATCTTTTCATACCCAAAACATCATGCAACTGATACTATGCGCTTGTCATATTGTCCAGTTGACATTGAAACATGGATTGTGTGAATACTCTGCCAAAGCGATATCAACGCTTGGTAATCTGGGGATCCTTGTGCTGGAAAAACGCAATAATGCAACAATGTTTCGTGAGCTGGCGTTATCCACTCAAGCTCATTTTGGAAGAGCTCGTGCTTGTCAGACAATGTTCATTACATACTCATACTCAATGGTGTGGTCGTATCCCTTGCAAAAATGCACCGATGTGTTCTATGAAGCTTATATCAAGGGAATGAGGAACGGAGAAGTGGATTATGCAATGTGGTGCCTAACTTCTGTGAGTCTGTCGGGAAAACTAACCTTGTATTGTATTCATCGTCACAACGAGCTGTTATGCTAACAATCCGTCATTTGGTGTTATGCGTTCTCAGCATTTTGTCACTCTTCCCTACGTTTTGGGCAAGCCTATCGATCGAATTGTTGGAGAATGTCCTAAAGTCACCATGGCCATGCAGGAAGTATCACAAACCAGCTAGGTATGTACCGATTATCATAACACAACATGAGCAGAGTCGTAGCAGCCCTGACGTCACCCATCTTGCATCACTGTATAGGCTAATGTAGCGAAGTGTTATTGGCAAATGTTCTTGCTTCTCCAGAACCCGCAACAAAATGGGCACCCGATCAATCTCAAAGGCGAAATACACAGCATCGAAGCATGTGCCGGAGACCCATTTATTTCGGCAGTGCATAATTATGTCGAATGTCAGCTACTTCTTTTCTTTGATGACCCATCAGCTGCAGATAGGGCAATCAGCGGAGCTGAAGTGTTCTCGAAAACATCGCCGGGTGTCTTTCAGATTATGATTGAGACATTCCACAGAGCTATCTCATTGCAACTCGCTGCTCGTCGGACAAAGAAACGAAAGTATAAACAGCATGCTACAAAGATCCGAAAGCAAATTCACAAATGGAAGAAAGAAGGAGTAGTCAATGTCGTCTACTACTGCATCTTTCTCGATGCGGAGCACGCGGCATTGGAAGGCAAGTATGAAGAGGCAGAATCGCATTACAAGAAAGCCATACAATTTGTGGCTCGTTCTGGTTATTTGCACCACGCAGGATTGTTCAACGAGCTGTACAGTGATTTTCTTCTGCGTGAAAGAAATGACAAAAAGGAGGCTAGATACCACCTCCAAGAGGCCATCCGATACTACAACGATTGGGGTGCACTAGGGGTTGTGGAAAGACTAAGGAAGTCGAGTCTCTTTGAGGGGAGATTCTAAATATCACATTCACTTCCTTAACAGAGCTATATTCGAAATGACTTGGAGTTACAATAGCTGTGCACGTCTCGCCTTCTTATAATATAGGAAAGCAGGTGCAAGGACGCATTTAGTCGAGTGGGTCGTAATCCGGCGGGCTCACTTTCATTCAGAAATATTGATGATGACTGCGACCCTCGTCACTATAAATTGTATTGTACCGGTATGCATGCGCACTATATTGAGAAAGAAAAATAATAGCATCAACAGAACTTTTGAATTGAATCTTTTCTTTTGCACCCGACGATAGACCTCAATCATCATGGAGAACGTATTTATCTACAGAGGAGGCTACCAAGAAGTCCCCAGACACGTCACTCGTGTTTACATTGATCCTTCCGTTGATGAGATAAAGAACAAGGCATTCAAGGGTTGTAAGGAGTTGCGCGAGGTAGTCTTTGCCAAAGATGGCCGTCTCGAAGTGATTGGATCCTTTGCTTTTATGGGATGTGAATCTCTTGAGTTGATTGAGCTTCCCAAGACTACCAAACGAATCTTATGTGGCGCCTTTATCAATTGTTCGTCAGCAAAACTGTTGATTCTGAATCATGGACTCCAAGAAATTGGATTAAGCTCCTTCCGGGGATGCCGAGGGTTGAAATATGCGCTTGTCCCGAGAACCGTAGATCACATGGCAGCAAGAGCTTTTTTCGAGTGTACTGGACTTGAGCAAGTCGCGATAGAAAAAGGACTAACTAAGATACACGAATCCACTTTCGAACGTTGTACCGCCTTGAAAATGATTGGACTTCCCCCATCTGTGACAAGGATTGGGTCTAATGCAATTCCCAGAGAAACAAAACAAGAGCGGAAGCATTGGGTGTGGGCTGTATCTCAAGTAAGCGTCTCTATCCTCAAGATGAATACAAACTCTGGCGATTGCCTATCCAGCCAAAATGATGACACCGCAAACCTGGAGAAGGAGGCCCCGGTACCGGTCTCACCAAGGCAGCCTTCTCAAGATTCTACAGCTTCGACTTTGTCAGCTTCTAAAAGCTTGACTTTCTCACAGGAGGATGATCATGCCGAGATGGTGAATACAACAGCAAGTGGCAATCTTGTAATCTCACGAGAACAATGGGACGATGTGAACAACAGGCTAGAGGTAGCTGAGGAAAATGTGAAGGTTTTGAAAGCACAGCTTAATACCGTCCCGACACAAGCCAAGGAGTCATCATCGGATGCACTATGCCTAAAGGTCAATGCTTTGGAGCAGAAATTGAATGCCAGCGTGACACGATTCGACAACGAATCAGAACTTAAGACTGCCATCACTTCACTGCACCAGACTACGACAGAGCGAGACGAGCTAAAAGAAGAAATCGCTACAATGAAGCAATGTCTGGAGGCATTGAAAAAAGGATTTGACTTGCTGATTGAAAAAGACCAAGTGAAGCATAAGGAAATCGGTCAAGACACTAGTTATCAAAGTGAACAAACCAAAAAGAGATCCCGCCATGATTGGGAGGACTCACCTGTTGAGTCTCTGGGAGTCATGGGAAGCATTAAAAAGAGGATATTGACTTGGTCTCAGCAGAACCATCAGGAGTAGAGATGAGGCATAATATATATAATAAGGGTATACCTAAGCAAACTGTCGACCATTTTCAATATATTCAATATTATTCTTGCATATATATCCTTTCACGTGCGTGATTATTGATTGACGATGGATCCAACGCCACAAATAACGGTCCGACATGTCCTACATACAAAAAAGGTGACACCTCCTTCGTGTCTGTAACAAAACTCAATCGATATGACTCAATAAAAGTTTTGGGGCAATAAACGATTGTGATTGTAATGTATTGATTGATTAAGATTAGTTGAGATTGATATCAAGTTTGTTTTAGATTGGATTGAATT